TGCAGGAGTTCCTCTCATCCAGTTTTCAGTTCTGTCTCAGGGGTAATTTTTCCACGAGTAGTTGTAAATTGGCTGTGTCCACGGGAGGAGGTGAGTTCCAAGTCTGCCTACGCCGCCATCTTGACTCCGCCTCCCAGCCCCCATATACTCTTTATCCATGGTAATAGTCTTTGCTTTGAAATCCACTTGGTTGATATTAATATAGCCACTGAGATTTCTTTTGATTTATGTTAGCATGGTATATCATTTTCCATGTTTTTTCTTTTAATCTATCTGTATCTTTATATTAAAGTAGATTTCTTGTAGGCAGCGTTGTAGTGTGGTCTTGCTTTTTTATCCAATTTAATAATCTCTTCTTTTTAATTGAAGTGTTTAGATAATTTAATGAGATAATTACTATGTTTGGGTTTAAATCTACCATTTTCTTGTTTTCTATCTTTCTCATTTGTTCTTATTCCTTTTTTTATCTTTTCTTTCCTTCTTTTTCATTTTTTTTTATGATTCCATTTGTTTCCTTTATTGACTTAATAGTTTTACCTCTTTCTTTTGTTTTTACTCTTTGAATGGTTGCTTTAGGATTTATAATCTATATCTTTGAATTATCATCCTCAGATTATCATCTGTATAGTATGAGAACCTTACAATTGCCTACTTCTGTTTCCTCCATCCTGTCCTTTAACTATTGTTATATATTTTATTTCTTCATATGTTGTAAACCTCAAAATTCATTCTTATTATTTTTGCTCCACAGTCAACTGTCTTTTAAAGAAATTAAAAATGAGAAAATTCTCTTCTGTTTACTCATATGTTTGCCATTTCCAGTGCTCTTCCTTCCACGTGTAAATCAGGGTTCAGCAAACTTTTTCTGTAAAGAGCCAGAAAAGAAATATTTTCAGCTTTGCAGTCCATACAGTCTGTGTCGCAGATACTCACCTCTGCCATATAGCACCAAAACAGCCATAGACAATACACAAATGAACATGGCTGTTTTCCAATAAAATTTTATTTAAAAAACAGGTGGTAGGCTGGATTTGGCCCACAGGCTGTAGTTTGCCAGTGCCTGTTGTAGATCCAAGTTCCCATCTGGTGTTATTTTCTTTTTGCTTGAAGAACTTAAACTGTAGTGCTGGTCTGCTACTGATGTATTCTTTCAGCTTTTATACATTAGAAAAAGCCTTTATTTTCTTTTCATTCTTCAAGATTGTTTTTCTGGATGTAAAGTTATAGGTCAGCAGATTTTTCAGTGCATTAAAAGATATTGCTCTGCCCGTCACTGTTTCTGACATCGTCTGTTGTTATTCTTATCTTTGTTCTCTGTAATGTGTTATTTCCTCTGGCTGCTTTTAGGATTTTTCTCTCGCATAACTGCTTTTCAACAATCTGATTATAAGGTGCCTTGGTGTGGTTCTCTTCATATTTCTTCTGCCGGGGTTCGTTGAGCTTCTTGGATCTGTGAGTTTATAGTTTCCATTAAATTTGGAAAAATTTCATTCATTATTTCTTTAAATATTTTTTCTGTCACCCTTCCCTCCCCCCCTCCTTTTTCTTACTCCAGTTACGGGTTACAGTGTGATAGGCCACTTGATGATGTTCCCCAGTTCACTGATGCACTGTCCTTTTTCCCGGTCTTTGCTGTCTGGGTTTCATTTTGGATAGTTTCTATTACTATGTCTCCAGTGTAGTAACCTGTTCTTGTTCAGTGTTTAATATGTTCTTTTCCCATCCAGTATATTTTTCATCTTAGAAATTGTAGTTTTCATCACTAGAGATTTGGTTTGGGTCTTTTTATATCTTCTGTTTTTCTCCTCATTTATACTCATGTTTTTCTCTGCCTTCTTGAATACCTGGAGTGTTCTTATAACAGCTATTTTGATACCCTTGTCTTGTGAATCTAGCATATGTATCATTTCTGCATTCTGTCATTTGTATAATTTCTGAATTGGCTTCTACTGATTGATTTTTTTCCTGATTATAAGTCATATTTTTCTGCTTCTTTGAGTATCTGGTAATTTTTTATTGGATGACAGACACTGTGAATTTTGCATTGTTGGATGGGTCTTTCTTTCTTCTTTCATTTTTTCCTTTTTTTCTCCCTTTTTCCCTCCCTCCTTTCCTTCCCTGTCTGTTTGTATCTGTCTGTCCATCCATCTGTTCAGTTGAGGGGGATGCAATTAAATTACCTGAAATTGGTTTTATTATTTCTGTGTTTCTTTTAGGTTTCATTAGGCTGGCCTAGAAAAGCCTTCAGTCTGTTGGCCCTGCTGTTTAGGTAGCACCTTTCTGAGAGTATTGACAGGACTTGATGTCCTATGTGTTAGGATTTCTTTACACTTTGTCTGGTGGGAACATGAACTATTTTGTACCAGTAGAAGCTTCAGTGATCGTTCTGCCTACTCCTTTCAGGTAGGTTTTCCCCTGGCCTTGGTGGTTTCTCCACATGCGTGAGCCAGATCACTACTCAGCTAAGGCTGTGCAGATCTCCAGCTTCATTCTCTCCAACTGCCTCTTCTCTGTTACTTTTCCCCCGCAAATTCCAGACACCTTGGCCTCCATGAATTCCAAGCTCTGTCTTCTCAACCCAGGAAGACCTCTGGGCTCGCTCAGTGCAGTCTTCCCTCCTTGTCCTGCAGCCTGGAAATTATCTTCAGACAAGGAGCTAAGGCACTTGTAGGGCTCACTTGGTTTATTTCCCTTCTTTCAGAGATCACTGTCCTGCATGCTTGTTGTTCAGTGTCTGAAAGGTGTTGTTTCATATATTGTGTCCAGTTTTCCAGTTATCTAAAGCAGGAGAGATTGTTTTTCAGTCGCTTTTGAATTAACATCATGTCTGGAAGCAAAAGTTTTGCTGCTCTTTTAAATCCTTTCATCACGTGTCCCTGCCTTCATATTTTTATACCTTTTAAAATCTGAGCTCACCAAAAAATTTCTTTAGAACTCACCATCTCTTTTTCTCTCTAGTGGGCATTAATTATAGCTTTATGATCAGAGTTTTACTTTTTAGAATACCCTGTCAAGTCCTCCTTGAGCATAATTCATCACAAACGTATGGAACGTATACTACATGCTACTATGCTAGATGCTAAAGATGCAAAGATGAATAAAATATTGGACTATGCCCGCTTTTTCTCTGAACTTTTTGAAATCTGTGTTTTTAGGGTCTAGAGCAGTGCTTTTCAAACTGTGGGCAGTTACTGGTGCTAGTCTATGAAGGGTTTGTGACAATGGACCACACAATAGTACATTGTTTGGCTCACCTAGATTTTTTTTCCCCCAAATCAGGACTTTCTTGAAGGAAGCAGTGTATTGGCTTAGATGCTGGCAAAAGCTCCTTCTCTCATTGTAGTCAAGTAATAAACAATTTATAGACCAGCTACTTTTAGTAGCACTGGTTAGAGTACACATGTGAGAATGCCTTGCATTCCCTTCCTTGGCTATTTGGAACTCAGGGACATTGGAGTTCCCTGCAGTTTATCTCATTTAAAAGATTCTTTCTTCTTAATTAAAACTAATTCCTAAGGAATTCATTTTATGGCCAATAACTGATTTTTGGAATTTCAAAGCAGCCACAGTCTTGGTCAGTTTTGTTTTTACGTTGACACAAGGCTTGAGATTAGAACCACTTTGCAATAGAGAATGCCTATTGAATGGCGTTTTGCTCCCTGCTGGAAGGAAATAGAGGAGCTTAAGGACTCTTCCCTGGAATTGGAATTATATCTATTTTTATGATGTCCTAGGAAGAAGTCTTCCTTTCCTTATTCATAAGTGCATTTTTTCCCTTTCTTTTTTATCGTCATCCTGGCAAGAATTTATTTTATCTCAATGCATGATTCCTCATCCTCATTTCCTTTTCATTTGTTGATTGGTTTCGGAGTCTCATCCTCTCTGTTTTGCCATTAGCAACTGTCATCACCTAACAGAAGATGATTGAACACGTTAGTAAAGATCTAGAATGGGAGAGAGAAGGCAGTGCGTGTGAGAACACCTTGAAAAGGCTTCTATTTTCTTTCTTTTTCAGTGGAAAGCTCTCCAGAGAGACTAAAGAATGAAGATTTTTCTAGTAGCCATGCTATAACAGTGTTCAAAGACAAGAGTCATGGAGCCATGGACCAGCTCTCTTTGATTTTGTCTCCTCAGCTCCAGATTTCTCAGAAGCTCCTCATTCCTCGAAGTACAGCCACTGCTGCCTTAGGAGCTGCTGCGCGATTAGCCACGTCCAGGAGCCTCCTACACTGGTACCCCAGTGTGAAAAGGATGGAGGCATAAGGGGAGGAAAAAATAATCCAGGTGCTTAGGGCTTGGTGATTTCAGGCCAAAATGAGGAGGAGGTATTAAGAGGAAATAGTATGTTGATAGTTGATGCCTTTGTCTTTCTGTGTGACTATATTTTAGTTTTATTATGCTAATAGACCACTTTGTTGTGTAATCATTGATATTGTTAATTTTCATTTTTATTGACTGTATTTCTTATTCTGTATAATTTTGTCCACCTTTAATGTAGTAGTTTAAAGGAGTTTTTATTCTTTTTGTGTTTCTATAAAAGTTTTTCTTGTATATATCATGACTGATAAATGAAAACTGGAAAACTAATGTTTTGTGATCCATATTTAGTAAGACAAAAATTCTCTCACATCCCTATCTCCAGAAAAAAAGGATGTCTGAATTCTAAGGCTGTTTTTTCAATCTCATTTAGAATCTTCTATATTAGAGAGATGATCCAGGGCTCCAGTCCTTACCATCGTTATTTCTTTGAAATACTAGGATTAGCAAGAAAATCCACACCCTGAAGCTTTGGTCATATAAACACTTTTATGTTTTTAAAAAATTAAACTGTCTTTCAGTATAGGCAATTTCTTGAAGACTAATAACAAAATTATAGAGACAGTATGTTGACACTTAGCTGAGCCATCTGCGTAGTCCTCACAGTTCCCAGGAGCCTTAATGGAGCAGTAGTTCAGCAGTGGTGTTGTGTAAGCATCTATAGAACAGGATGTTCTTGGACATCCAATTGTGTGAAATATTACATGACATTCTGTTAAGCTCATCGTATCAACCATCAAGAGAAAAGACTGAAAGGTGAAATTAAAGAATGTGAATGATACTGATTTCTTTGTGGTTAAATACCAGACTTATCCCCAAATTTTAAAAAATCCAATACAGAAGCATTTCTTAGAAGTAAAATCAGAGAAGGAGTGTGAGTTACTGGCAGGCTGCATATAATGAGGTTCTCACCTCACCAACCCCTGCTCTGAGGCCTCCTGTTTGGCATTAAATGGCAAAGCTGGCCCCTAGTTCCTTTCTCTCTTTCTAAAACAAAGAATTGCTCCTGTTTCCTTTTCAACTACTTAATCAGCAAAATGTCCACTGAGGAAGGCAGTGAGATGAGAGTAAATACAAAAGTGCATTTAAATTTAGTGTATTACTGGCTGAAACTTCTTGCTCAGAATTAAGTAATCATGAAACAAAGTTAAACTCAAAGTCTCTAAATACTGCTAGTTTTTTGGTTTAAAAACCTTAAAGAAAATGTGTTTAATGCAATAAAATTTAAAAATATGGATTCACATTTAATTCCAATATATTTATAAGAATGACGTTATTCTAATTGACCAAAAAAAAAAGAAAATGTAATCTGGAAACATCACTGATAGTTGACCCAACAGAAAGAACAGGTTCGCATTTGGGTTTTTGTGATTTTATATCAGACATCTTTATTGGAGAAGACCGTTGAAGAGTTATATGGGAGGTCACTGAACAGTTAAATATCAGATGACAGTTAAATATATATGGTACTCAACTGTGAGATGAACTGATATGTTCTGTTTTTCATATAGATTTAGGTAATTATCCACAAATTGTTTCTAAAGAAAATTCATTTTGGAATGATGCTTCTTAGAATTCTTCTTTTAAAGAAGAAACCAGGTAATCTGGTAGAATCAATATTTACATGATTAGTAGGTCAAACTGTAACCCTCTCTATAATAGCACTCAGCTACCACAAGGAACTCTGCCAATGCTGGGTAACCTGACAGTGATTAATTTTACACTTTGCCAGTTAGATGGGGATTATGAAATCACTGTGCTAAGGCTCTTTCAGAATCCTATCTATTTGCAAATGACCAGATAGAGAATCATTTAGACAAAGCCATCTCAAACTGATGAATGTCAACACACTTTGAAAGAAGCCTATTTAGTAATTAATAGTTAACATTGTAGCCAATCTGCCAATCTGTTCGCCTACCTTGGCCCACAATGTGGGCTTTGTTAGGTAGTTAACTAAAATAGCCCAAAGCATCAAACAAATTCAATAGATCATTTGAAAATAAGTAAATAGGTTTCTATATATAGGGAGGAACTATATAAGAAATATTCAAAAGATAGGTAGATGCTCTGTGGTTTAGGATTAAATTAATTATATTTTATTGTCAAAAGATGGGTTGACATCTGCTAGACTTAGAACAGCCTCCCTCCCCACATTTTTGGTGTTAAGGATCTATTAGAAGTAATAGAGGTCCCCAAGAAGGGTTAACTGGAAGTAGGGGCCTGAGGTGTGTGAGAGGGAATGGGAGTTGAGAACATATGGGAAACTCCTAGTTATAAACTCTTAGGAATGGAAGAGGGAGTGGCTTTACTAATAGCCACTCAGGTTTTAACTCCAGTGGCTTGTAGCCAATACCCCTCTCCCATCCAAAAACACACCGTGGGATATCAAAAGAGGAGTCGTTCTAGCTGTAGTCAGTCACCGCTTTTTCCCTCTAACTCGCACACATTTGAGATGCCAGTTGTCCATTTTAAGACGGGGATGACTAGAGACTTCTGCCTACAGTCAAACTATGTCTAAGCTAGAGACTTAGAATTATAGAATTTTGATCTAGAAGGGACCTTAGATGAGGAAATTTGAAGCCTAAAAAGACTGACTTGCTTATGGTCACACAGCTTAAATTCCCATGTCTGCTGTCTTCTAGCTCAGTGCCCTTTCCCCTGGGAAATACTGCCGCTCCATCTTGTGTAGTTTAAAAGATTTGATGCCAGAAGACATAGTTTGGTAGATAAGTCCAAAGGAATGGTGGTCTGATAGCTGAGCACATCTCTGGTGTTGGAGGGGAAGGGGTTGATGTACAAAGATCTCGTATTCTTGAATGTGGATAGCTTCAATAACTGGGCCAGTTATCTAGCTGGAGAATCTGAAAGGGGGATATTGTAAGGGATGAGAAACCAACATCTTACAAAGCAGTCTTTCTGAAGCTTCCTGTTAACATTTATACTGTGTAGCAAGGCTTGTCTAACAAACTTTTGGTATCTTTTCAGAGTTAAATTTATCTTATTTATATGTACAGTGCCACAGACAGCATTATTCACAAATTTGCATGAATCATCACTAAGACATTTACAAGATTTTGTCCTGTTGCCCATTCAGATCTTGACGTTTTCCAAGATGCCAACCAAGGTGCTTATCAACCAGATTTGTCTGTGTACGTTCACAGCCCTATTTCTAACAGGTGTCATTTGTCTCATTTAGCCAGTCACCAGTCAACCTAGTAACTTTTTGGTGTCATTAGCCTATTGGAACCAGAATCCTTTAAACTCTGCTATTTTTAACTATGTAGACAGAAACTGTTGTAACTTCTCAGTCAAGGACTTCTCTAATATTTAGAATTATAATTGACTTGTGTGCCACTTTTCAACATGAAATTGAGTGTTTGACCTACCCCAAAACTGAGTAGAGAATTTATTTACAGCTAAATTTTCTTCATGAGGAGCAAAGTTTTCAGGGAATGCTTTTAGCTTTCTGTTTGGTATAAACTTCGTTTTATATTTCTGTTAAAATTTTTTAAGATATTTTTTAATTTATGGAAAAATAGTTATAAGAAAGAATGTTTACTTGATTATTGGTGCAATTAGATACATAATTTGATGAGGAAACCAAATTTATGACTCTATCTCTGCTCTCTAAACTTTTGTTACAGAACTAACGGGAAGTTATTGGGATCAAGGAATTATGATTAGCCTGATCTTTGGTGTTCGTAACAGCATTTTGTTTGATTTATTTAAATATTTGTGAAGTTGGAATTTGTTTTGTCAAAAATATCTAGATTTTTTTTTGTAATTAGTTTTTGTTATGATTCTGCAGGAATGAAGATTTCACTTAATTAAATATGTGACCCAGAGAACTTAGTTGAGTAAAATACAGGATTTCCTTGTGTAGTTGTAAAAACAGAGATTTGACACTCTTCTTGACTAAAATACTTGTCTTCATTTTTGGCATGACCTCTTTATTCTTAAAGTACTTCGGCCTTTTAAATTTTTGCTGTATTGTAGGTAAATACTTTTATTCCATGAAATTGGAAATTCATTCACACTGGAGCCACTTCTTAAGTACCTGACAGCCAGATTTCAGAAACTTGTTTTCTTTCTCTTGTTTATAGCAACACATCAAACGCTTCTAAGCCATCTTCCAGTTTCTTCAATTCTCTCTTGAGACAGTTCCACACACTGAATACCAAGCCCAGTCACATCTTGTGGCTGTAATGCCGAGCTCTTTCCTGATTCCACAGCAGGGCCTTGGCGGCAGGAGCTCGCCTGCCTAAAGCAGGTCATTTCCAGGTGGTGCTCAGACTCCACTGGTACAGACTTTTATCCGTCATTCCACTGAACCATGAGTAGAAACCACAGACAGCTCAGATCATTTCTTACTAGAACAAATGACTCCTTGACAAAAGCATCCTGTTACTGCAGTGTTGTTACTCATATGTTCTGATGGAAATCTCTTTGATATATATATGAATTCATAGATATGAAATATGAATATATAATTCATATATATGAAAATACTTGTCAGTTAAATAAGACTCTATGTGTACCATTTAGGATACTATTAGGCAAAGTATATCCCCACAGGATATTCCATATTTCCTTCTCATGATACCTTTCTCCTAATGGGCACCTGTCTTCCTCTTTGCTTAGAAGGATGAAACTTAAGCAAACATACATGATATGGGCCAGAGCCAAAAGTTTATCCTTTCTTTTCTGAATTTCAAAAGCAATAACATTCCTATACTGATCTGGAGAAGGACAGTTAAACAAATTGAGAGTAGAGGGGTAGAACATTTGGCTATAATTAAGTGATAACATCCTTTGTACATCTCACATTTTAGGCAGTGGAACATCTGTTTATGATCAGGTAGACAATGTGTTTTTCAACAACCTTTTGTGCAATTGATTTATTTTTACTAAACTTTTTAGATTTAGAAACAACTCTATCAAAACTTTGTGGTCTTTATCTAGTTTCTACTTGGAATTGGTCCAACAGTTGAGTTGACCCAGATTCACGAGGCTCAGCAAAGTTGCCTCAAAAACTTGATTGAAGAGAAAAATTATGAATTGACAATAACAGCCAAATCAGTTGTAGGAAACATCATGTAATTAATTATCAGTAAACTTGCATCCTGTACTGGCTTTGCTTAGGATCTTTTCAGATTTACAGAGTCATTCAACATATTGTGGAAATCGATTTTTGGTATGAAATCCATAGAGTTCTAT